TCTGTCACTGATGGACATTTGGGTTGATTCCAAGTCTTTGCTATTGTGAATAGTGCTGCAATAAACATACATGTGCAAGTGTCTTTATAGCAGCATAATTTATACTCCTTTGGGTATATACCCTCTCAAATTTTATGGCCCAATTATATCAAGGAGACTTTTCCCTAGGGACACACTTGTGAGTTTTTGCAAATTGTTACATCTGCTTAGATTTTTCCTTCCTTATTTCTTCTCATGCGTAACACTTGTTAATTGTTCAGGCTTGACTCAGATGCTCTCTCTCTCTTTTCTCTCTCTCTCTCTCTCTTCTCTCTCTCTCTCTCTCTCTCTCTCTCCCCCCTCCTCATTTTAAGAGGTAAGGATCTCACTCTGTTGCCTAAGCTGGAGTGCAGGGGCCTGGATCATAGCTCATTGCAGCTTTCAACTCCGGAGGTCAAGCAATCCTCTCTTATTAGCAATCCTCTCTCTTCAGCTGGGAACACAGGTGCATGCCACCACATCTGGCTAAGTTTTAAAATTATTTAGTAGAAATGAGAAAGTTGCTTTGTTGCCTAGGCGGGTCTGGAACTCCTGGCTTTGAATAATTCTCCCACCTTGGCCTCCCAAAGCACTGAGATTACAGGCTTGAGCTACTGTGGTTGGCCAGGGTTTCTCCTTTAGAAAAATGCTTGCAAATCCCTAGAATGGTATCATTCCTTTGTTCTGCCACAGAATTATGTGTTGACTAAGATTCAACTACTTACCACACTGCATTAATATGGTTTCTTCATCTGTCAGGATGTCACACAGTAACAATAATACTTTGAAGAAAAAGGATATGTCTTAGTCTTCACACTTCAATTAACTCCTGCTACCTAGATTGCCAGAATTAACCAGATTTTACATGTGTTCTCCACCTGTTTATTAAATTCTGGGGGCCATCCCAGTCCCCTCCAGTAATGTATGTCTTTGAAATAGAAAAGCCAAATTTAGATTCTGTCACTCTCAACCAATGAACCCTCCTTACCTGTGTATTTCTTTTTCTAATATACACTTTCACAGCATACTTATTGTTGATATTTTCCTGAAGCCCTCACTGCTCTTCACAGTAAATTGTAGCCTCTAAAAATCTTATTTGATGCTGGCATGTACACAGAAATCTATTATAGGTATAAATATACATGTACACATATACATATAAATCTCAAGGGTTACCACATCTCTTCCTTAATAAATTAGCTCCACCTAAGAAAATATTTCACATAAGTATATGGTCTATCAGAGCAGTACTTTTTGCTCCGCCTTTTATCTTTGCACCTAGACACCTATCTGGAATACAGTAGGCCTTCAATGATATTATTTGAGTGACAGAATGAATGAATGAATAATTGGTCTAAATTATTCACTTTTCTTATAGAATTAAAAATACCAATTCTGAGGTAGAGAGATTACATTTGCAAATACTGCCCATGAAATAAAATTTACTTTTTGAATGAGTCATAGTTTTATAATTTATAATAAAGTAGACTTACTTTCAATCTTGACATATTTTGCCAAAATCAGCTGAAGCGTCTGAAACATAGGTAATAAACTCAAACTTTGCGTCTCCCTCAGGCAATCTGTATCTAGAACTCAGTTGATAATTGGTATGTGATAAAAACTGGATAACTTTTCATCACCTGATTTATTTTTATATTCTCAGCTATTACTAAAACTTGATTCAATAGATATTGAAAATAACAACTCTTTATGTGACTTTTATTTTGCTCCCTCTGTAATAGCTTATAAAGTGTGACAGAATGTCCCTAATGGAAATAACTAAAATCAGGTGGCTTTCTATGCATTTTTTTTTTTAGAAATAAAGGTTTCTGTTTCTTCTTTTCCAGAGAGTCAGAAAAAAATTCAGCACCTAATTCCAAAGTGATGTAAGGTAACCATTTACTTTCATTAGTTGTCCTCACAAATAATATCTATCTAACCTATATGTACACGTATATACCAAATGTGGAATCATATAAATAGATGTAAATCACAACCACACAAAATATAAGCGCATGCAAAGATATGAAAGCATGCGGGCAATTTTGAGAGGAAATGAGAAGAAATTGTACTATAAGTATTGCTCCAGAATGAATAGACTTTTTTTGGTAGATTTTGTATAAAAAATGTCATTTGTTTCTTTTGAAACTAAATCTGATCAACTCACCTTCATATAACCAGTCAGCAATCCCATTAAAAATTATTTCTTCTTTTCCAGAAGATGTCAGTCGCAATGAACTGCTCTTTATATCAGGTTGATAGTAGATGTTATTTTCAAAAATATAAATCTGGATCAGGAAACATGTGAAACAAACAAAAAACCCAACACGTTAGGATGCCTTTTAAAACTTTAGTATTACAGAATGATCACTGAATAGCCATGTTGTATTATTTACCGCTTCAAGTTGTTTTTATTTAAGGCATATGTTTTTATTGCTTTCAATTATTAATGCTGTTTTCTGTTTTATTGTATCAATATCAAGTTGTCATTTGGAAATTCCATGGCACTTGGTATTGATGTTTTTAAATCCATATTTTTAGCAACAATATTTCAACTACTTAATAATTTCTCTCCATACCACAAAATTGGTTTGGCTTTGAGATAACATTTTGCATACTCAAGAGACTGATAACTGTAACTATAAGCCATTTTAGTAATGCCAACTGACTGTTTGAAGAGCTTCAATTTGGGGTCTTTACTTTTACAAAAATGCATTTGGTGATCAATAAAATAATCTCTAGATAATCTCTCTGATTCTATCCAGCTCAGCTCACAGATTCACTGATGGCAGAAACGATAATAAAATTCCTCTGAACTGATAAGTGGAACACAGCTTCCATTGTACCAGTCTTGGCAACTCTTTGGTAAATAGCACAGCAATGATAACCTTGTAACTGAGAGTTCCAGAAAGAGTTTTAATTTGAAAATATCACAGAGTCTGCCAAAATAATATCAACAATAGCCCCAACAATAGGAACAAACTAAATAAGTCAGGATGTGCCTATGATATAGACAATTCAGGATAACATTTTTTATAATTCACTTTACAATGTCTTTAATGCCCAATATTTGAAACTGCTGACCCATGTGGTATTATAACCTTCCACAGAACCATGTTTCTGTGGTTAGGGGAAGCAGAACATTGTCCAGGGCAAGCCAAATTGCTGTTTAGATCAAACATTCTACTAAGAAAGTGAAAGATGGCATAGGGCCCGTGTATCTTATCATGCTATAGAATCAACACACAATAGCGAATAGAGAAAGCACAAGAACTTCCAAAACAATTGTCTGAATAATTACGAGGCCCTAGGTTTTAAATCTTGGTGTGCACAGTGACAAAGCAATTTTAATATCTAGAACATTTCATGGATATTCTATTTTAATTCTGGTGATTTAACAAGCATTTACAGGTGGGTGTATTTAATTATTAATTCCACCACTACAACAGGATCTTTTTTATATCACAGGTGAGAATCTCAATATCAGAGTAAGAATGCAAAAATAAATAAAAACAATGAAAGGAGGGTACTGCAGGGTGCTTAAAAGCATAGGCTTTATAGCCAGGCAGCCTAAATTTAAAATCCTAATAACCTTGATAGCATTCTTAACCTTTCTAAATCTCAGTCCTCTACTTTATAAAATGCGAATAATACTTACACATACTTTACAGATCTGTGGTGAAGCATAAGTGAGATGATGAATACAGAATAAAGAACACATTGGGCTATTACTAAAAGCAGGGTGGCCTGTATACAAGATAACCTGGTTCAGAATGTTAAGAGTTTTGGAGGCAACAAACTCTAAGTCAAAATGAAACCTCTACAGCTTTAGCTGATATGTAAATCATCCCAATGTTTGGCTGGTAGAGTACACATTATATTAGTTAAATATGTATTAGGAGTAGCAGCAGAATAGTAGCAGCAATAGTGGTAGTATTAATAGTAGGAAGGCAGGGGACATGAAGGAGGAGAGAGATATTAATAAATGAGATGTATTGCTTTCACCTCAGTTAGAAAGTTCTCAGGTGAGACAATGAAACAGGAAATAAGCTTATTATTGAAATTACGTGGATCACACTTAGGCAAAAGTTTGAGAATTACCTCTCAGGTTCCTTAACACTGGATAGAAGTTGGATTTAATGACTTTCACGATCCCTGACAACTGAGAAAAAATATGAACTTTGTTCTAGGCAACTGAAGCATAAGCTTTACACCTTTCAGATACTACATCCTCTTGCTTTTCACAACCAGTATACAACACAGGTGCACAACGTTTTCCTTACTTGGAGGAAATGCCTTTCCTGTGCCTGAACCTTCTATTAGGACTTGTGAGTCATAACAGCACAGAAGATGCACACATGGTCTGCTCAGCACCTGTTGCTCTTTTTAGGAGGGGAGGTGACCTCACCCAAAGTAATATGGTTCAAAATTCTCAGCTTTCTGAAGGAAATACAATCTAAGTCAAAATAATTAATAAAACCTCCACGACTTCAACAGATGTAAAAATTATCCAAAACTATTGACCAGTAATTACATTTATATTTGACAGATTGGATGATATGCAGAATCCATATGAAACTGACATCTGCTTCAATGTAGAAAAACAAGCAATATGGAATCAGAATTTTAATGCCATGCCACGGAAAGCTGTAATACGAGAGAATGTCCACAAGATGTTTTCTTCAGTGGATAAAAAATAAGTAGCTGTCTTCATGAAAATGTGCATTTTTAATATCCTAATCCCTTTTCAATTATCAAGGTTTATCCTTTAGTTGTAGTTGTTTCAAACAATAATTGAAAACTCTAACTACTACCTTAACAATTTGAGAGCTGCAAGTATTCCCAGGTACTGTCTGAGCATTCTGATGAAATTAGACTGGATCCAAATGACAATCATCAAGGGCTGCATTTAGATTTAAATCACACTGAAAATATGACACACACTAATGCTATTTATCCTAATGTTATTGATTAAACTGTCACAACATTTTATACTATTAATTATTTTCTTCAGTGAGTCACCTGATATAGTTTAGATCTATGTCCCTGCCAAATCTCATTTTGAGATGTAATCCCTAGTGTTGGAGATGAGGCCTGGTGGGAGGTGTTTAGGTCATGAGCATGCATCCCTCACAGCTGGATGCTGTCCTCACAATATTGAATGGGTTTGTGTGAGATCTGGCTGTTTGAAAGTGTGTGGCGTTCCACCACCCCACTCTGTCTTCTTCTCTAGCCATGTGATATGCCTGCTCCTGCTTCACCTTCTGATATGAGTAAACACCCATGAGGCCTCCCCAGATGCCGAGCAGATGTGTATGCCATGCTTGCACAACCTGCAGAACCTTGAATCACTTAAACCTCTTTTCTTTATAAATTACCCAGTCTCAAGTGTTTATAACAATGCAAGAACAAACACCACCTAAGCAGCATAACAAATAAAAAGGGAAAGCTATTTGACGACTTAACTCTTCAATTTGCAGAGCCAGCCAACTTCCTAGTCTTTCAAGGTCAATGGTCTTACTCTACCCATAAAATAATTCAAAATGGGTAAAGTCACCACACACACACACACACACACACACACACACAAAAGAAAGAAAGAAAATAGAAGAACAATTGAAATACTATGTACTGCATTATGCCAAGTTAGGAAATATGTAATAAACGTTTCAAGGGATATTCGAATCAATGTGTTAGTCAATGTTGCTCATTAACAAATGATTAGACCCAATATACATCACTGCTGGGCAGAAGTCTTTAAGAGTCAACTTTTAATTTGCCACCTTCTCTTCTGCCACAAGTACTACCAAATGCACCAGATGCTGGATTTCTGGATGAACAGCCATTAAGCAGATTCTCTCCACATCCACAAGGAACTTGTGATGAGCATGTGGCAAGAAATGAACATTTGATATTAAAACTTATTAAGATCTTGAGGTTGAGCTCAATTACAGTGTAAATTAGCTTACTGTGAGTGATTCAACCTGTCACAATGGCTGATATAAACAAAATTTTAGCCATCTTAAAAGAAAACAAAAACACAAAATAAAAGAAACATAATTAAACATTAGGCCTGTTTTGGCTGAAATATTACTGAAAAGCTATTCTGCATTCAATGATTTGAGTACTTTTCATGATAATTTTAAATTAGAAAATGGTGAATCACTGAAAAATCTCCACACATGATAATGGTTTGCAAAGATCTGTAAAGTTACAGTGGAGTTGAGATAGTATTTGCATTCATTCTACCATGGCTTGCTTTCTGGGAAATAAAATTGTAATTAAGAAAGTATCCCAGATAATGCCTATTGGTGGCAGGGATGCAGTGAAAACTGCCCTTTTCTAATTTAGTTGTAAAATTATAATGTTATGGCCATTTGGGAATATAATATGGCAATTGCAAACTTAACATATTCCATCTCACTAGCAATCCTAAACCTGGGACCTTGCTGTGTAGAAAAACAAAACAAAACAACAACAACAACAACAAAATACACCAACCTGTAGAGAAAAACGAGCAGTGATGTTCATTTCAGCCAAAAAGAAGAGTCACAGTGAAAACTCATCATAATTGAATTGAATGCCTGGACAGATTACTATTCATCCACACCATATAAGAACATTCATGACTTGAAGAGAATAAATTTGTGCTTGGAAAAAAATAAAGTTGACTTGGAAAATTTTCATTGAGATATCGTCAAGTAACAAAAGCAAGAAAGAAAACCAAAGGAAAACAAAAACAACAAAGAATTCAGTGTGAGCCCATTTTCATACACCAGACAATGATAATACTAACATAAATGTATACTATCAGTAATCTTACTGACACATATACATTGGATGTTGTCTGTTGGCACTCAGCTGCACTCCTGACCCTCTATGTTTTTTATTACTGGGGGTGGTTAGAAGCCTGAAATTTACATTTCTAAGACTTTCTTGCAAGTCTTCTTAGCTTCTTTGCTAGTTGGCTTCTAGCTACTTTCTGCAGAAAAGGAGAGAGCTACCAGTCACAGACTGGAAGCATCTGGAAGTGGCTCTGGCACACCAGCTTCAGCAATAGCACCTCAGTGGCAGTGGTGATGGGAGTGTAAGCTCCCGGGTCCTGCCTTGATAATAGCAACCTGTGTTTATCGGTTCTGCATACCACCACTTTGGCCCCTCCAGCCTTTACAACATTGTGACAATTATCTGTATTAAATCTCTTCTATCTGAATCACTAGAGTAATATCTGTTTTCCTGTTTGGAAACCCTTACTGAAACTGTACAAAAATGTATGAATATAGTTGCT